GCCTGCCCTTAGGCAGGTGGTGTATTTTTTTGTTTTGTTTTGTCTTAAAGTACAAGTATATAGTAGAGTTTTTTCTTTCTTTTTTTTTCCAATTTCTTTATTTATTATGTATACAGCACTGTATGTCTGCAGGCCAGAAGAGGGCACCAGTTCTTATTACAGATTGTTATGAGTCACCATGCTGGGAATTGAACTCAGGACCTCTGGAAGAGCAGTCAGTGCTCTTAACCCCTGAGCTATGTCTTCAGCCCGCAGGTGGAGTTTTTATTTTATCTCTGGAGCAAGAGAGGTACCATTCCCTCTGCCCAGGCTGCACAGTGACAGCCCTCAGCAGACACAAGCTGGTATGGTCCTTGAGCCATAAGCCAAAGGAACAGGGAAGTTATAATCTAGACATGGTTGCGCCATCCCAGGTGGGTAGCTAGAGTTTCTAGTCCAGGGGAGACCCTGTGCTTCTCCTACAGACCTGGAAGTCTGCTTTCCTGGAGGGACTCGGCCTCACTCTCCCAGATTTCCCCTGACAACTCTCCTGCTCATCTCTTCTCCTGACTGATCACGTGTGTCCAAGGCCAAGATTTGAGACACGTCTGTATTTAGGTGAAATGCCCTTGAACCATGTAATCTTGATGGAGCTTACTCTTCTCTCATCTCTCACAATGTCTGTGGCTGTGAGAGAAGCAGGGAGCAGTGATGCGAGGGCTGATGTGAAGTAAGACTCCTGCTTGCTTCTTCACTAGCTCTGCAACCTTGGACAGCTTGCTTTATCTCTCTGAGCCTCTCTTTAATACTCTAGGGAATGGAGGTGCATGCAGACCGGGCTATGGTTTGGGGCTGGCACAGAAGGATGTAATAAAGGGTAGCTGTGGTTATGCTCGCTTTTACAGACTAGTGTTGATGCTACGTGTCTAGCATCCAGTTCATGTGCAGTACATAAGAGTCATGGTTTTCATCAGCCTTGGCCTTTGCATGACTGATTAATACAAGACTGAAGGCCTGAAAGAAACCTTAACTGTGACCCAGAGCATTGATATGAGCACAAGATAAACTCCAAGGTGGTTGGGACTTGACAAGCCACAGGGTGATAGAAGCCTTGGTACAGAGACAAGGGAATAGCCAGCCAAGCATGAACTCAGTGAGATCTTGAAGTAGGAGAGCTTCCTGTGAAGGCCACTGGGAGGGGCTCTGAGAGCCTGGGGTTTCAGGCACACCACAAATACCTGCTGTGTAAGCACCCAAGTCTATTTAAAGGTCCAGAGGCCAAGCAGACACTTTGGAAATGCCATAAGCTTTCCTGGGAGAGGAACAGACTTTGGAAGCAAGAGCCTCATAACCACCGGCAGCAAGCTTACTGTGAGCTATATAAGTCAGGGAGCAGAAAGCCAATGCCGATCCTGGTAGGTTTTCTTGGAGGGGTTGGCTTCGCGGAATGCACAGAGTAGATTGTAGAGGGGGCATAGTCTAGGAGAAAGGGAGGGAAACACATAGGCTGGACCACAAAACTTGCTTTAGGGGAAAGTGATGAATCTTGCTTTAAAAATTAATATAGGGTAAGGGGTAAAGGGAGGGTTGGCAAGATGGCACAGTGGGTGAAGACCTGTCACACAGACCTAGAGACTGAGACTAAGTTTGAGCCCCAGAACCCAAGTAGAGGTAGAAGGAGAGAACTGACTCTAAACAATTGTCCTTTGACCTCCACACATGGACTCTCTCTCTCCTCCTCCCTCCCCTCCCCCACCCCCTCATACTTTTTTAAAGGAGTTACTGGAAAACAAACTCAGGGATGCTAAGTATATTGAGACACACATTTTTTCTTATTCCAGCAGATGTACTTTTATTGCCAGAAATATAGAGGGGGAGATGCTAAAACACAATTAAGAAAAGGAGAAAAAGTAAGGACTGCTGTCAGCCTCACTCCCAGGTATAAACTCTTGTCCGGAGTGCTTGCTTCTCCTGTTTTCTATGCATGCTGCTACTGATGCTTGCATTTGTTTAAAGCAAAAATGGACTTCTATAATATAAACTGTAGGTGACCTACTTTTTAGAATGTTTCATGAACTGTGTTCCTCATCATTTGCCACCATTTAATGATTTTGTAGTAACTCTCATACGAATGGAACATAATTTATTTAAGTAATTTTCTATTCTTGGATATTTAAGTGGTTTATAATTTTTCAGTATCTTGAGAATCTTCCAAATGATTGTCCTAGTGGCTGAAATTCTGTGCACATCCTAGTTATGTCCTTGGAATACATTTCTAGCAAAAGAATCACAGAATAAAGGACAGAGTCTAAAGGATTTTGATACATATAGTTAAATTGCTCCCTAGAAGGCTTGTATAGATGTATGCTGTTAGTAGCAATATATGAGTTGCTTATTTTCTAGCATTTTTTATTTCCACTGGTTACGTTTAATTTTGTTTTGGTTTTTCTATTATGAATTTAACAAAGACCAGAATTGAAGAATCTGAGTAAGCAGACATGAGATGGAAATGATCACACATTTTACAGGTCGGCCATCTAGACACATAATGGATGTGATGTGCTTAGAGAGGAAACACAGTTTGCAGTCAGGAAGCTTTGTGAAAGAAAGGGAGTTGGGGATCCAGCTAAACAAAGGACTTGATTTCCCCCCTTAAGTACAAAATTAGTATATATTTATAAAAATTAAGATAACCCACAGGTTTGACGGTAAGAGGTGAAATCACTTTTTCACCTCCCCCACAGTTCTCTCCCCAGAGGTCAGATGTGTTTGTAGCTGACCTTCCCTTGTGTGTATATAAACTCTATGTGCACAATCATGTGCATGTGTATGCATACATGTGTGTACATATATTCAGGTTTATGATTTTTAAAATTTTATTTATTTGTGTGTGTGTGTGTCTTTGTGAGTGTACATGTGCGTACAAAGGTTACAAGAGAGTGTCAGCTGTCCTCCTCTAGAATTCGCCACTTATTTCTTTGAGGCAGGATCTCTCCCTGATCCTGGGGCTCTTGTTTTCTCAGTTAGACTGGAAGCCAGCAAACCCCACCTCTTGTCTTCACCTCCCCGAAAACAGGGATTACAGGTGTGTACAAGTTACTATGCTTATTATGTGGTTCTGGTATCCAAATTTGGTCCTCATGATTGCACAATAAGCACTCTTCACCATTGAATAGTGTCTGCGGTCCCAACCTATAGTATTTTTTTCTGGTGTGCATGTGTCATGTATGGGCACATGGGTCTACAGTTCATATATGGAAGTTGGTCCCGGCATCCACCTAACTCAGGTTCTCACATTTGTGCAGCAGATGCTTTACCCACTGAGCCATCTTCACATCCTGTGTTGTTCTGAAAAACAGAAATTCATTTAGAATTTTATTTTCATCTTAGAACAGCACTACCTTATTCTCTGTAAGGTCGGCTTGGATTCTGTTGCTGGCCAAAGTATCTTCTGCTTATTCTTTCCCTGGATAGTGTGGCGACAACTCACCCTTACACCATTTTCCTTGCACGTTTGAACTAATGTCTGTTGGATCTCAATTGTGGAATGCTAGGTAGAAGTGGACAGTTGCTCACCAAAGAGAAAACACCAATGTGTTCCCAGCTCTGGAGCATGTGGAGGACTGGAGATCCCACCGCTGTCATTTCTGGCTGTCCTTCAGTAGCCTAACCTGGATCAGAACCAGCTGGTCACCCACTGACTCTTTTAACTATCAATGTTCTGAAAAACCTGCAGTGAAGTATGACTGTGTCTCCAGCACATTTCTTGCTGTTCTCTTCTGTAAAGTAAACCACTGAGGAATCTTTCTCTTGTTAATTAACTGGGGCTTTATTAAACACCTTAGCAGCTAGCCAACTGCTCTGACCCAGCCATTCCTAGGAGACATTCTGATGAGAAATTTTGTTCTAATTTGTACATCTTTAATGACAGCTTTTGTATCCGAGCATGCATGTTTAGTTGAGCATGTTAGTATCAATTCAACCTGGTTCTACAACCTCAAATGTTTATCAGGTTCTTATTCTCTGTTAGGTACCAGCCTAGGAATTTATATCTAGGGTAATAATAAGAAATGATGATAAAGATGATTTATCACTCTGTTACTAGTGAGAGCAGAAATTAGAAGGGAACTAAATGCCCAAATTAGGGCAATTATTAAATATGTTCTTACAGGGGCTGGAGAGATGGCTCAGTGCTTAAGAGCATTTGCTGCTTTTGCAGAGGACCCAGGTTTGGTTCCCAGCACCCACATAGTGGCTCATAGTTCCAGAAACCCACTTCTGAACTTTATTTGTGTAACATGAGGGCTGGCTTGTTGGGGTTTCTGTCCCGCCCAGTACCCCACAGCTAGCAAGTCCCCAAAAAAATCACACACAGGACTCCATAAGATTATAAACTGATTGGCCCATTAGCTCTGGCTTCTTATTAACTAATTCTTACATCTTACGGTAACCCATAATTCTTGTCTGTGTTAGCCATGTGGTTCAGTACCTTTTCCAGCTGTCAGCTCACATGCTGCTTCTTCGGTGATCTGGGCAGGAATGGCGGAGGAAGCTTCCTGCTTCCCAGAATACTCCAGTTCTCTTTGCTCCACCTCTACTTCCTGTCTGGTTTTCCCACCTATACTTCCTGCCTGGCCAATCAGCATTTATTTAAAATACGATTGACAGAATACAGACAATTCTCCCGCACCATATTTGTACCAGGAATATTCATGATTCACATACATACATGCTGGCAAAACACTCACATAAAATAAAAGAAAAAATTAAGGTACTATGTATATTTATGCATATATTAAAATCATGTTTATAGCCAGGTAGTGGTGAAGCATGCCTTCAAACCCAGCACTCTGGAGGCAGAGGCAGGAGGATCTCTGAGTTTAAGGTGAGTTCCAGGACAGCCAGAGCTACACAGAGAAACCCTGTCTTGAAAAGCCAAAAACAACAACAAAAACCATGTTTATAAAAGAATACTTACTAACAGAGATTGCTGCTATTTGTTTATTTATTTTTACTTACAGGTTCTGAGAATCCAAAAGAGGGCCGCAAACATGCTGGACAAGTGTTCTACAACCTCAGGCTAAAGTGGGTGTGGTCCCACATACCTGAAGCCCTAGCACCTGGAAGATGGAGGGTGAGGAATCAAAAGTCATCATCTTTGGCTATATTTTGAGTTCATGACTAGCAACTACATGCAACTAAGAAAAGAATGAAAACAAACAAATAAACAGGCACACCCCAAGTCTGCTGTTTTATAATTGAAGGCAGTCTGTGAGGTACACAAAGTGTGATCTCAGTTTGGCTTTCTATACCTGCCATCTCTGTTTCCAGCTTTCCCTGTAATCTGTTTCTAACCTCCACCTATCTAAAGACAAAATCCACCACAATCAGTGTGGCAGTCAGGCTGGACTCTTCTCATAGGGTGAGCTCCCTGTGCGCTGAGTGCAGACAGAGGCTGACTAAAGGGATACTTTTCCGTTTTAAGTTTATTGAAAAGGCAAAGATATCCATGAAGGTAGAAATGATCCAAGTGACCAATAAACATACAAAGTGAAAACTTATTAATTATTAAAATGCAAATTAAAGCAGCGTTGTGATGCTTTGTTTTAGCCTATCCCCTTTGAAGAAGAAATTTGCTTGTGAACAATACATCCTGATGGCAATGTGGCAAGAGAAACTCTGTAGACTGCACATTTGAGGTTGACTCTGTTTGGTCTTTCTGAAAAACTCTTTGGCTAGATGTCAAAACGCTGTAAAATATGCAATTTATCAATAAAGTTGATGTAAAGATCTGTTTTTATTCTTCAGCTATCTTAAGGAAATTAAGGAGTTGTATATAGGTGTGTGATCAGGGAAAAGCTGTCACAGCACTTTGTTTTTCTTAAATACAGAAGTAAAAAAAATTGTTTAAGGAGTGCATGCTGGTCTATGCCTGTAGGAGCAGCACTAGCGAGGCAAGGGCAGGATGAGCCAGTGTGAACTTGAGGCCTGCCTTGAAAGAAAATGACAGTGAACTAGAAAGATGGCTCAGCCACTAAGAGCTCTTGCAGAGGACCCCAGGTTCATTTCCTAGCACCCACATGGTGACTCAGAACTGTCTGTTACTCCAGTGTCACGGGATCCAGAGTCCTCTACCGGCCTCTGTGGGCACCAGACAAACAGTGATGCACAGACAGGCATGCAGCAAAACACTCACAGATGTAAAAGAAACTAAAAATGATGTTTTAAAGGGCAAGGAAACAACCAAGAATTATTTAAAAGATCTGTGAGTTTGAGGCCAGCTTGGTTTACAGAGCAAGTTCCAGTCCAGGACAGCCAGGACTGTTTAATAGAGAAACCCTGTCTCGAAAAACCAAAGGAGAAGGAGGAGAAGGAGGAGGAGGGGAGGAGGAGGAGGAAAGGGAAAGGGAGGAGGAGGAAGAGGAGGAAGAGGAGGAAGAGGAAGAAGAAGAAGAAGAGGAGGAGGAGGAGGAGGAAGAGGAGGAAGAGGAAGAAGAAGAAGAGGAGGAGGAGGAGGAGGAGGAGGAGGAGGAGGAGGAGGAGAAGGAAAAAGAAGAAAGCAACTACAACAGGCTAGCTAGGGACATGGAGTAGGCTATCCAGAGACTCTGAGTGTGGAGCAGGCTATGAGTATGGAGAGAGCACCTGTAGCAGAAATAGACTGCAGAAAGCTTCTGTGGGACAGAGTCCTGCTCTCTTGGTCTATTGGGAATGGCTCACTAGCCTGCATCTCAGGGACCAGCAGGAGAAGAGGCTGGGAGAGGCCCAGACCATGAAGATTGGCTAGGGCCAAGAGTCTGGGTCCAGGCAAACTGGCCATAAGCTTACTTCTGGGAATGGCCTGCTCTTTCTTTCCAACTCGTCCCATTCCCAGCATTGCACTTTTGCCATTAGGACATCTTCATTTATAGGACTGGAGGGTACAGTGGCTGTGAGCACTTGTTCTTGCAAATAACCTGGGTCAGATTCTCAGCACCCATGTGGTGGCTCAGAACCGGGGGAATCACCACAAATACGCTTGATGCACACATAATATATTCATGCAGGCAGAACTTTCACACACATTAAGTAAACTAAGTAAATCTAAAAATGAAAACAAGAGCTTCTCATTTGAAAGCTGCTTTTTCTTATTTGGGAGCCTGAGCTGGAGGGTATCTTCTCCCCATAATAGCCTTCCCTGTCTGTGCCCTGCCCCCAGTGTGGCCCACTTTTGCTCCATGCTGTTTGTCAGTCATTAATTGTACTCTGACAGAGCCAAAGGACAAAGAACTTTCCCAATGAGACAGGTCTTGGACTTGACCTCTGTCCATCTGTACCCTCAGCCTCTCAACCGTATCTTTCACTTTCTCTAGCATAAACCATTAGTGTGATTAAAGAGTGAGTGCAGAGATGTGCAGCCTGTGGGTGGAGGGCAAGACAGTCACAGACAGACAAAGGGAGGCCGTCAGCAGAGAATCTGGGATAGCACTTGTACTTCATGGGTTGTTTCAGAGGTTGAAGGTCAAGCCAAATTCTGAGTGTCTCATCATTTTGAAGAGGGTAGGCAATCTGGGTTTTAACCAGACTAAAAAGTAATAATAAAATACTATCTCCTTTATTGTCCTTATTTGGTGCTGACTAGTCATGTTGGAGAGGGGCTGGTAGAAACCTTTGGTGAATGTGGATTTGAATGGGTAGTTGATGGCTTCAGGATTGTCTTCTCTCCCTAAGACAGCATCATATCTCCCGTATTTGCCCACCCCACCCCCCTTGCAGTATGCCCTCTATTCCTTAATCTTTTCTGCAGTGCTTGGAAGCCCTGCCAATTTCTCTGTATTCTTTTGCAAGGCTGTCTTTCTGAAACCTCCTGTCGCCTAACGACAGAGAGGCACATATGCTGCAGCTTATGCTTCTATTTAGAGCTGACGATTTGAAAAGGGTGGCTTGCACATGTGGACAAGCATTTGTGTATGCATTCATGTGGGTTTGTGGTTGTGAACACACATGTACGTGCATATGTGCTTGCAAAACCTGTATTATTGTTCCATGCTTACATTTGCTCACATGCATATGATCTGCCTGTGCAAGAAGATGAGTTTAAGTTTAAAGTGTACATACACACATGTTAACAAGTATGCATGCCCATGCTGGTGTGGTGTGTGTTTGTGCTTGTGGTGTAGAGTACACTTGTATGCATAAACAGTGGTGCCCAAATGCAAATATGTGATTGTGCATTAGAGTGCTTATGGTATGAGTTTGCCTCCCTCCTGCCCCAGGAGACACCAAGGCAAGTGCAAACTATAAGGAACAAAGGAATAATCTACATAATTTAGCCTTTGATCTCTGCCACCCCTGAATCCTCTTTGCTCTCATTGCAGCTGCCCAGCTGCTTTCCAACCCACTAGACTCCACCTTTGAGCTTTGCTCTGTGGAAAGCTTGTTCTCCTCTTGCCAGTTTCTACAGCTAACAAGACCAGGAAAGGATGAGCATCCACTAAGCATGCATGGTAGACAAGGTTCCCATAGGAGGTATCCTACATGTAAGTCTTCAGTAACCCTGCAGAGTGTAACAGTTGCCCTTGGTTGAGGTTTGAGGAAATTAATCAGGGATAAAGCCTGAACTGCAGATGCTAAACCCATGCTCTTACATTCTATCATGTGGTCCTCCCAGAAGACGCTTGGATGCCACACACTGAGAAGTTGAAACTGCAACCACAACTGCAGCCAAATGCAGTGATGATGGAAGAGATATTCTGGGAGATGCAGAGTTTGATGTGGGAGGAAGAAGGGTGCATAGTGGGAAACAGTAGGGTCTCCAGAAGAGCACACTTGGGGTTCACAAGACTGAAAAGTTCCAGGTGTCTAAGTGGTCCACAGGCAGAATGGGTAGACCAGAGAAGAAAGAGCCCGACTGTGCTAACTCAGCAGGACTGTGGCTAGATCACAGCAACACCAAGCTTTGGTTTTCTAATCTGTAAAATGTGTGTCAAAGTGTTTTCACAAGTTAATTTATACTGATGTTTGCTGATCTCTTACACACCTAACCGATGCTATCTTGTGATAACTCTGTCAGGTGTTTCCCACAGGAGCTGGGGCTTGCAGCAGTTACATAAAACACAGACCTGGACACTAACTCCAGAGTTTTCACTGGACTTTCTAGGTGTTCTTTTATTTTGATTTGATTTGATTTATTTATTTTTATGTGCATGTTCTTTTTGCTTGTTTGTTTGTTTTTTCGAGACAGGGTTTCTCTGTGTCACAGTTCTGGCTTGAAGAAAAGTGTACGCCCCCACTGTCCAGCTTTCATTTGTGTTTTACTGTTATGAAGAGACGATATGACTATGGTAACTCTTATAAAGGAAAACATTTAATTGGAGCTGGGTTGCATTTCAGAGATTTAGTCCATGTGGTAGTTTGAATTAGCCACCATAATTTCATAGGGAGTGGCACTATTAGGAGGTATGGCCTTGTTGAAGTAGGTATGGCCTTGTTGGAGGAAGTGTGTCACTGTGGGAGTGGACTTTGAGGTCTCCAATGCTCAGGCTACACTTATTATTGTAAACAGTTCACTCCTATTGCCTGCAGACCAAGATATAGGACTCTCAGCTCCTCCAACACCATGTCCTGACATGATGATAATAGACTAAACCTCTGAAACTTTAAGCCGCTCCAATTAAATGTTTTTCTTTATAAGAGTTGCCGTGGTCATGGTGTCTCTTCACAGCAATTGAAACCATAGTCCATTTTCATTGTCTGAAGCATGGCAACATGCAGGAAGGCATGGTACTAAGAGGTAACTGAGAGTTTTACATTTGAATCCACAGGAAGAGACAGTGAGCCACTATGCCTGATTTGAGTTTTTGAAACCTCAAAGCCTACCCCAGTGACAAACCTACTCCTACAAGGCCACACCTCCTAATAGTGTCACTCCCTATGAGTCTATGGGGGCCATTTTCAATCAGACCACCACATTACCAGTAATAACAGACTGATAATGGTGACAATGTTATATTGATGATGAGGGTGATATCAATTCATCAGGTACCAAAATTGCTGAGAAATCACACATTTTTAGTAATTTTTTCTTTTTTAAAATTATTTATTTATTGGCATTGGTGTTTGTTTGCCTACATGTGCATCTGTGTAAGGGTGTCGTATCCCCTAGAACTAGAATTACAGACAGTTGTGAGCTACCATGTGGGTGATAGGAATTGAACCAAGGTCCTCTGGAAGAACAGCCAGTGCTCTTAACCACAGAGTCACCTCTCCAGCCTCATATGGAATATGTTACATGTTTGTTTATATGGGTTTTATTTTTGAGACAGGGTCTCATGTAGCCTAGATTGGCCTTGAACCTACTATGTAGTGTGGCTTTGAGAGATAAACTTCACAGCGCTTTATTTCCTTATCTATAATATGAGAGTAAGAATAACCTCACTTGCCAGGTGGTGGTGGCACACACTTTTTATCCCAGCACTCAGAATACAGAGGCAGGTTGATCTATGTGAATTCAAGGACAGCCTGGTTTACTGTTGTGGAATATTAATTGAAGATGTGTTACATTTGTTTATGCTGTTGAATATTTGTTTAATGATGCAAAAATGTGTTGAACAATTTTTTATGTTGCAATTGTTTAACTCTGTGAGGCTGTGTTATTTTGCCTATCTAAACCATCTGATTTATCTAATAAAGAGCTGAATGACCAATAATAGCAAGGCAGGAAAAAGGATAGGTGGGGCTGGAAGGCAGAGAGAATAAACAGGAGGAGAAATCTGGGAAGAGGATTGAGAAGCAAGAGGAGGAGAGGAAGA